AGACTGCCCAGAGCAGAGCCTGAGTCTCCTTACTCCCTAGTCCCTGTTACAGAGGAAACTGCAGTGGGCTGGGGGCTGGGGGTGGCCTGTGGCACTGCTGGCCTGTTATCCTGTTGGGGACCCCCAGGAGGCCTTCCTGAGACCTGGGGCCCTCGTCTTGACTCCCCCGCATGGCTGTCTGGGCGGTCAGCAGCATCCTCTCCCTCCTCCCCTACAGCAGGCAGGCACCCCTGCCCCATCCTGGCCCACCTACCTCATCACCCTTGCCAGGTCCACCAGCCTCCTAGGGGGCTTCTTCGCAGACAGAGCCCTGCAGACAGTGGCCCTGAGCCCACTCACCTGTGGGGCCAGTCCACGCTTTGCCCAGCCTCTAAACCCTGTGCCATCTGGCCTGGCCAGCCTGTTCCCTTGATGCAGCACCTCCTGCCCACCCCCGATCCATCCCCCGCAATTCAACCACCCCCACCAGGATCCAGAGCCCACCCCGGGGGCTCACACCAGAAGCACCAGCCCCCCTCCCTCTGCCTGTGCCCAGCTGCTCACATAGTTGCCCCATCTCCTCCCTCCATCCAGTCTCTCCTTCTGCTTCAGCTCTTAGCCCTCTGTTCAGAGATGTTTCACCCGGGAGCTCCCGAACTTAACCCTCCATCCGCTCTGAAACGCAGTCCCTGCTCTGCCCAGCTCGGCCCCCGGCCACGCTCTCCCACCATTTTCTGTATTGTCCAACAGTCCGAGCACCCCCCCCATCATCCCCACCTGCCACAGCCAACTGGGGGGTTGGTAAATCATTCCTTAAGGGGAGGCATACCAGGGGTGCTGCTTAGGGCTTACTCAGGGATCACTCCTGGCAGAGCTTGGGGGACCAGATGGGATGCCAGGGATCCAACCCAGGTCCTTCACGTACAAGGCAAGTGCCCTCCCTGCTGTACTGTCACTCCGTCCCCTCGGTCCCTTCTTGTCTTGGGGACAAGGAGATGGGAGAGGAGAAGACGGAGTGAAGCTCGGGCAGGACGGGGAGCCCGCTGTACCCATTGTGGGCCAGGCCGGGTAAGTGCTGGCAGGGAGCAGGCCCCCAGCAGGAGCTGGGAAGCGTTTCCTGTCTCCTTGCCAGGGGGGTCATTAATAATGGTTTCCCCGCCACAGGCAGCGAGGAGGCCAGCCAGGGAGCAGCGCGGTGCTGGGGCCGGAGCACAGCCCAGCCTCCGGGAGCCAGCCCTGCCACCTCGCTTTCACGCCATCTGACCTCGGGGTCCTGGTCGTGTTGATAAAAGGAAGGTCTAGAGAGAGAGAGTGTGGCCCAGGGAAGACAGTCCCCAGGCTGAGCTTCTGCGTTCCATGAGGGAGGCTCGGGGGCAACCCCAGCTGCACATAATCCCCCGAGCATGAAGCAGGGAGTAGCCACCGGATGTAGTCCCAAATCCCCCCCCCACCACAAATAAATGAACTAAAGCAAAAGATCAATACTGCAGTGGGTAGGGTATCTGCCTGCATGCAGCCACCCCAGGTTCAATCTCCAGCCCCCTCTATGGTTCCCTGAGCCCCAACAGGAGTGATCCCTGAGCACAGAGTCAGGAGTCCGCCTTGAGTACTACCAGGTGCATTCAAAAAACTAACAAACAAACACACAAACAAAAGACCTGGCAACCCTACATCCTCTCCACTTGCTTAGATGCCACCGACCCTCTGGAGTTAGGGACAACGGTGCAGATCTGAGCATCTGGAGCGAGAAAGCCCAGGCGGAGGCCTGTCGGCTCTCAGAGGAGGTGGACTTGTGGCACAAGCTCACAGATCAGGTGGGACATCATATAGCGGGGGACGGGGCGGGGGGGGGGGCGTCACACAGCAGGAGGGAGAGCCATCTGCCCAGGACCTGGGCCGGAAGACACCGCTGGGAGCATCCCAGGAAACCTGTTTGCCCATGGCTACGACCCCACACTCAAAACAGTGCCAGGGCCTCGTTGGTGCTCACGGGTGGCTTTCAGACCATGGAATGTGCTCATCTGCCGAATGAGACATTTCTGAAAGGACATGGAATTTGAAAAGGGCTGTCTCAGAGATGGCAATGGTGGCGACAAGAAGGACACTAATCCCAGTCAAAGATAGCAAGATGGGAAAAGGGAATAAGGGTGGAGAGGGTGGGCCGAGGCCACGCGGCACTGCTGGGGAAGAAACAGCTCCCCCCCACCCGGACCCCTGTCTCCACTGGGGCCAGAATCCTCCACAGTCTCAGGCCCACCAAACCCCCTCTCCCCTCCTTCAACACCCAGCTCAACACCCAGATGATTCACTCTCCAGAGAACCTTCTGGAACATGAAGCTGAGGCAGCCGGCTCAAGCCCCATGCCCAGCCTGTGAGTCTGTGCCTTCAGACCTCAGTCCAGGCTCCTGGCTGGGAGGCCACCCACCTGCTAAGGTCAACTTCCCGATTTGTTTAGAGTATGTGACCTGGTGCCTCCCCAAGATGAGAGGGTCCCCAAGGGGCAAGCGGGCCTCTGTGAGGACAGGCTCTGTCCTCGCCCCATCAGCTCAGGACACCCAGGTAGAGCCGGGCTTAGTGTCTGCAGCCCAGGGGGGCTCTCCAGGGGGCACAGAGAAGGGGGACTAGCCAGTCTGCAGAAGGGGGCACGGCTGACATCTAGCAGCCCTGCGGGAGCTGGGAGCCGAGAAGGACACTGGGCGACTCATGGGACAAGAAACATGGTTGTTGGGGCTGGCGTGACAGTCTAGCAGGTAGGGCACTCACTTGCCTTGCATGCGGCTGACCTGGGTTCCATCCCTGGCATCCCATCTGTTACCCTGAGCACCGCCAGAAGCATTTCCTGAGTATAGAGCCAGGAGAAATCCCAGCGCATCACTGGGTATGTCACCACCCCCCCCCAAAAAAAAACAACAATAAAACAATGAAACAAACAGAACCACATGGTTGGCAAATGCACCCAACTCCCAGCCCAACCCAGATGGCTCTAGCACAGAAAAGGGGCCCACTGGGTACCACCCTAGACCCCTCCCCTCTGTGGACCACTGGGTGACAACAAACATAGTGACCCTGGGACATGTGCATCCTCTCCCCACCCCCGCCAAGCCCCGGCCCCCCGACACGAGACAGGCTGGAAGGAAAAGAACAAAGGTTCCTGGTTCACGACATCACCCGCCGCCCGCCTGTCCAGGGACTGCGCCGCCGGAAACGCCAGACAAAGGCCTTGGTCAAAGCAAGGGAGATGAAGGGCAAAGGGGAGAGTGGCCCAGGCCCGAGGGGTCACGGGAGAACGTCACTGGGCATCTCTGGGGACCTGACTGGAAGTGAAACAAGGACAGGAGGGCCACGGAGTCCTGCCAGCAAACACGTGGCCCTAGGCTACGTCGATGGGACAAGCCAGCTGTATCCCCTCACCCCCCCATCACATACCTCATTCCTCTCCCCTCTCGCCTCCGGAACAAACTCTCTCACCCCTGTGGCACATTCCCCGGGCCCCAGCTAGTGCTCACCCGACACGCACCCTGAACTCACAGGCAGACCCTCAGCCAACACCCACACACAAGAAGGATCACACAATCCACATTCAAACAAAAAAGTCACCCGGATCATCACACACCCAGCCCGCACCACACTCACACCCGCCTCCCACCAGGGACCCGCACATTCCACACTCACATCCCGGCTGCAGACGCACGCAGCTGATGTCATTCAACACAGGCGCGCACACACACATACACACAAACACACACACACACACACACACACACGCACAGGCGTGCGCCACCCAGACACAGAGGCACAGACTGAGGAGAGACTGTGCTCAGCGAACATCACACCGAGATGTCACACGCTGGTGGCACATTCTGTCCCCTTCCCCCACGCAGGCGCGCACACACTTGGAAGCGCAGTTCCTGGCTCCGGGCCCCCCGCGGCCACCTCGGACACCCCCGCCACCGCACATCTCGGAGCCGCTGACTTAGGTGGAGAGGGCTCCCCTCACCCCCACTCCCCGTGGCCAAGACATCCCACGGAAGCTTTCGTCAGCCCCCTCTAGTGCCGCTTTCCCAGTAACACAAGCAGCCAAGAACACACAACCACACACACAGTCCCCCGAGCAAGCTGGCCCAGCACAACCACACAGGTTGCCTACACACATGACACTCCACACGCCTCGCAGCCTTTCCAGCAGCCCCTTCGCCGCGCTCCCCCCACGGGTCCCCCCAAACCCTTCTGCTCTCAGTGATAAGGCCCCACTCTGTGACACAACACACAGCATACGCCCAGCAGATGCCACCTACCCCGTCCTCACAGACACACACCCCACACTCCCCCACCACGGACACCGCCCCGCAGGTGACAGAAGCTGGTTGCTGTCTAACCCCCCCACCCCTGAAGCCCCGGTCCAGAGCAGCACAGCAGACAGAGATGAGGGGCTTTGCCCTATGTCCCCCATCTTACGGGGGGCGCGATCCCCACGCGCCTCTAACCTGCGCCCCGCTCCCGGTTAACCCTTTAACTAGCACCCAGATGGTGCCCTGCCTGCGGGCACCAACCCGCCCCTCTGAGCCTGCCTCTGTCCAGGCCAGCGCACAGGCAGGGGTGAGGGGAAGGGAAAGACCCTGCAACAAAATTAGAAACCTCGATGAGAGAGTGGTGGGCAAGTGGGCAAGAGTCCAAACGAGAGAGATGGATGGACAGACGCACAGATAGACGGACAGACAGAGAAGCCAAGCAATAAAGTGAGACCCCCCGCCCCCCAACACACACACCCAGAGAAACAGAGGGAAAGACAAGATGAGAGAAGATTCGGGACCTTTCGGCCGGAGGGAGGAAGAGAAGGTGGGAGGTGAATGGGGGTCCTGCAGGGAACCGGACGGGGTGGAGGGGCGTCTGGGCTGAAATCCCAGGAGCGGGGGCTTCCCCAGCTAGGGGAGGGGTCCCCACTGCCGAAGCCGGGGAGAGTGGGGCCCTTGGGGCCGGCGAGGGCGCGCTCCGGTGCTCGGCCAGAGGGGGGGCCCCCCTACCTGCAAGCTGTCGGCGCATGGCTGCGGCGGCGGCGGCGGCGGCTCGTCCGGCTTGAGGAAGACCTGCTGGCCCCGCCTGAGGAATTGGACAACAGCGATGAGGATGTGGTGCAGCACCAGGACCATGCTCGCAGCCGCCCGCCCGTCCGCCCGCCGCTCCGGCCGCCGCGCGCGGTCAGCGCGTCCGCAGCCGCTCCGCCGGGTCCGCGGGAGAGTGGCCGGCCCCGCCCCTGCCCGCCCAGGCCCCGCCCCTCCCGCCCGGGCCCCGCCCCAGACCCGCCCGGGCCCCGCCCAGACCAGCCCGGGCCCCGCCCCTCTCCGCCCAGGCCCCGCCCCCGGCCCGCGGCCGCCGACTCGCACCGCTCCTCCGGGACCCCGAGGCTCCCACCCCACCTGCTCTCACTCCATCCTCTCGCCCCTCTCCAGTGTCCTCCAGCTGCTCCTCTTCCCGGAGTCCCGCCAGGTAGCCCCCTCGTCACTCCTGTCGCTAACTAACCTCGCAGGGGGCCCTCTCGGCTCTGCTCACGACCCTCATTGCCGGTGCCCACCGTGCCCTCTTAGTCCTGGGGCCGCGCTTCTAAGAGCCTGCGGGCAGAGACCAGCCCCGGGCGCGGGTGGGGCTGGGCACCGGCGGGGAAAGAGGGAGGCCGGGCCCGCTGAGATGACGCGGGGAGCCCTGGATTCGCTCCTCTACGCGGAGTTTTTTGTTTTTTGTTTTTTTTTTAAGAGGGTGGGTGTGGAAGTCGGGGAAGTTCTGCGAGGTCGCGCCGGGACGGACAGTTGCTGGGGTCAGTTGCTAAAACGCGCAGCTGGCACGTGCGCGCCGGCCCCCCGGGCGCTGCCGGACGGGCTGCCGCTCCCGCCTGCAGGCAGGAGCCCCGGGCCCGCCGCGCTGGCCGGCAGCCGCGAGCGCGAGTGCCCGGGGGGCGCCGGCGGGGCAGGCCAGGGCCCCGGGGCGCAGCACCGCGGGCGGACCCGCGCCCCGCGCGCAGTTCTCCGCAGAGCCGCCTCGGGCTCGGGCTCCTGCGGCAGCCGTGACGCTCCTGCGCCCCCTGCTGTCCGCACACCGCAGCGCGCCGCGACCCTGTTTGCGGTCGGCCTGGCCTTGGGGGGCTGGCGTGAGGGTCCCGGGGATGAACTCGGGGGTCCTGGCGCCCCCCCGCAGGCCCTCAGGCTTGGCCAGGCGTGCTAAGAGTCACGGGAGGCGTCTGAACGGGAGGGAGAGCTCGCGTGGGTCCAGGCTGGAGACCTGCTGCGTGACCTTGGCTAGATTCTCTTCAAATTTCTGGGCCTCAGTTTCCCCTCTCCCACCCAGAACTGCGGAAGAGCCCAACCCTACGACGTGGGAGGGCAGCCAGGGACTCTGACACAGTCTTGCCGTGTGTACGTACCCTACATTCATCCCACTGTCCTGGGAAGGAGGGCTTTCTTTCTTTCTCTCTCTCTCTCTCTCTCTCTCTCTCTCTCTCTCTCTCTCTCTCTCTCTCTCTCTCTCTCTCTCTCCTCTCTCTATCCCTCTCTATCACCTATCACTCTCCTCTCTCTGTCTCTCCCTCTATCCTTTTCTCTCCCTCTCTCTCCCTCTATCTCTGTCTCTCTCTGTCCCTGTCTGTCTCTCTGTCTCTGTTCTTCCCTCTCTGTCTCTGTCCCTCTCTGTCTCTCTATCTCTGTCTATCCCTCTCTCTCTCTCCCTCTTCTCCCTGTCTCTGTCTCTCTCTCCCTCTCTCCTATCTCTGCTTTTCCCTCTCTCCCTCTCCTCTATTTCTCTCTCCCTCTTTTTCTCTCCCTCTATCTCTGTCTCTGTCCCTCTGTCTCTATATCTGTCTCTGTCCCTCTCTGTCTCTCTCCCCCTTTTTCTCCCCCCCCCCGTCTCTTTGTCTCTGACTCCCTCTGTCCCTCGGTCCCTCTATCTCTCCCCCTCTGTCTCTGTCTCTCTATCTCTGTCTGTCTCTCTCCCTCTAACCCCCAGTGTGACTCAGTGGGCCCCTCTCCTCCCAGCATCCCCACCACCAGGCTGATTCATCTGGGTGCTTTCTCCTTGGGGAATGACTTCCTCAACATTGAGTCACCCAGCCCAGCTCTGGACACAGTCCAGGCACCTGGCACCCCGGCTGGGCCGCGTCCTGGTTGTGTCCCCTGCACAGGGGGCGGCTCCTGCGTCAGCCTGTCTCTCTCCAGAGCAGGGGAGATGTTCATGGCTCTGGTGACTCCCCACCACCAACGCAATGAAGCTGCCACCCCCAACCCCCCGGATGCGCAGAACCTGCTATTTTTATTTATTTTGTCTCGTGTGGGGGCCACACCCGGCAGTGCTCAGGGCTTACTCCTGGCGGGCTCGGGGGGGGGGGGGGGGCATCTGGAATGCTGTGCCGAATGCAAGGCAACAGCCCTACTGTCACCCGGGCCTACAGGACTTTAGCCTCTTCTTTTCCAGCGTGGGACCTCTAGCCGTCACCCCTTAAATGTAAACGTCCTGCTGTGTGCAGAGGGTGACTGACTCCTTACCTTTGGGCCTGTCTCCACTTCACCTCACCCCGGTGCCGTCCAGATCCTGCCAGCCTGCCCACCACTCGGGCCAGCCACCTCCTCCAGAAGGCCTCCCAGAGTCTACCTGGCCTGTGTCTCCCTTCTTATCTCTTTCCTAAGAGTCAAGGCAGGGGTAAGGGGGTGGGACGTGGGGCAGTTTGTGGAAGAACAAATAGTATGCCTGTCCCAGGGAACCCCGCCAGGTGGAGGGGATTGGACTCGGGACAATGTGCCCTACTTATGAGCACTGCACAGAAATCCTCTGGGCTGAGATGTGTAAGCGAAAGGCTCTGGCCCACAAAGGGCCTTCCTCTCCCTTTTAAACTTTATTGTTTTGTTTTGTTTTGTGGACCACACCTGGTGGTGCCCAGAGCTTACTCCTGGCTTCTGTGCTCCAGGACACCTCCTGTCAGACCTGAGGGAACCCTATGGGGTGCTGGGGTCTAACCAGGGCTACTGCATGCAAGGCAAGCGTCCTACCCGCTGGACTATCACTTCAGTGCCCTCTTATTTTGGTGGTTTTAATTTTCTTCTCTGAGAAAGGGGGTAACGAGGGTAGGAGCTCTTGTAAGAACTGCCTCTGAGCCCGGTGTTAAGGGGGTTGGTAAATCCCGAGACCCAGATGGACTCAGTCCTGAACTTGGGACAGGGAGGCATGGAGTGGAGATGCAGAGTCACCTAGGGAATGCCCATTACAGCCATGGATCTGGGGCCTTCAGGGGCGAGTTCTGGGATTTTTTTTTGGTTGAGTTTTTGATTGTTTGCTTTGGGAGGGGGGTGGGGGGCACATACCCAGCAGTGCTCAGGAATCACTCCTGGCTGGCTCGGCGAACTATATGTGGTATAATCCAAATGGACTGAACCTGGGTCAGCCACGTGCAAAGCAAATGCCCTACTGCTGTACTATCTCTCTGGCCTGACTGATATTTTGGGGGAGTGCGGGGGGTGCCACACCTGGTTGTGTTTGAGGATCAATCCTCGTGGAGCTTGGCGGGCCATATGGAATGCAGCATAAAGCTGCGTCCAAGGCAAGCCCTCAGCCTCTGGCTGTTTCATCTCAAGTCCCAGGGGTGAGTTTCTTTCTCGTCTTCATGATGTCCCTGCACTGGACCTTTCCCAACTAGGCAGAGGCATTCTGCCTCACTGCTGCAGATTCAAGCCTTCCCTAGGGGGTGGGTGTTCCCGTGCTGTGGGACTCTGGGCAGGCCGCTGTGCCCCACCTGTGAGAGGCTGGACACCGGACACTGTAAGCAGTGGGGACTTGGCATGAGACAGAGGCTTCCACACATTCTCGAGACAGCCCTCCATGGGAAGAGGCCAGTGAGGGTCCCCCAGGTGGGAAGGCGACAGGCCTTGTCTCATTAGGAAGGACCCTTTATCCCCACACTAGGACTCCTCCACTCCCCACAACTTTCTCTGGGTCAGTGCCGGGCCCCCGGCCCCAGCTCTCTGTCCTGTGATTCCGTGCTGGGTTATGTTAGAATCCTGGGGATTAGGGGGTGCCTTGAAAGAGACCTGCGCCTGGACCTCCCACATCTGACCTCTCTGGAGGACCTGAGGTCACTCCTGGCAACGTTTGGCCTGGCATGGTGGGCTTGTTGGCTAGGTGCTATTTGAAAGGGCCTGGTGGGGTTCGAGGACCAAGTGGTACAGGAATGGAAGCTGGGTCTTTGCATGTTCATAAAGCCTGCAGTCTTCCCCTTTGGGCGAGCTCCCTGGTCTCCCTGACTGAGGTCCCTGCAGAGGGAAGGGAGCCCATGGGCCCACCTCTGTTTGGTTTGGGGCCATCCCCGTGCTCTCTGCTTAGGAGTTGCTCCTGGCGGCTCTGGAGCAACCCTGGGACCTCCCACGTGCAAAGCACTCAGCATGTAGAGCCCATGCCTTACATTCCCGTCCTCGTTCTGTGACCCCAGAGGGTACGAATTTTCTGCCAGGTCTGAGAACCCTGGATTCTGTGCATCTCCCCCACTAGGAAGCATCAGTTCACTGGAACGTTATCAGGGGCTGGAGACTCTGTGTCTGAAGGGCTTTAATATTTACTGAGCACTTACTATGTTCCTTACTTTGAGTTTCTCAAAGATATTCTAGGGTGTGAGCTATTCTTTGTTTGGGGTTTTGTGTGTTTGTTTTGGGGCCTTACCCAGGGATGTTCAGGAGTTATTCCTGACTCTGCACTCACGATTTACTCCTGGCAGAGCTCAGGGGACCACATGAGATTCCAGGGATCGAACCTGGGTCAGCCGTGTGCAAGGCAAATGCCCTACCACTGTACTATCACTCCAGTCCCGGGTGCAATTTGTTCTTAGCCAGATTATAAATCACTTCCACAGTCGCTGAACTGTCTAGCAGTGGAGTCAAAGTTCAAGCCTAGAGGACCTAGAGGAGCAGAAGACAGCACCCCTGGGGCTGGCGTGCTAGTACTGCAGGTAGAGCACACGCCCGCCCGAGTGATTCGATCCCCTGCGCCGCATATGGTCCCGTGAACCCCATCAGGAGTGATTCCTGAGCACAGAGTCAGGACTGAGCCCTGAGCACTGCCAGGTGTGGCCC